ACTCTTCCTGAACTCCCTTCCCCCTGGGGTCATGGTCCCCTAGGGCCTCACTGAGAAGCCTCCTGAGCTTGTCTAAGTCGGCTTCCCTGAAGTCGAGGACTTCCGTGTTGCTGACTGACTTTGCAGCTTTACGGCGGATGGTGAAGGTGATCAGTTCGTGGTCAGTGTCACCCAACTTCCCATCGATCACTAGGTCGCTGATTAGGTCATCCCCAGTAGCCAGTAGCAGGTCGAGCAGAGCTTTGCCTCTCGTTGGCCCATGGACTTCTTGAGTCAGTCTATATTTTCCTATTAATTGTATATACAGAGTCACATCTGTTTTTAAATATCAGAGGAATAGTTTTGCCAGAAATCCATTCTAGTGGGATAACTACTCTTGTTATACACTTATTTGCAAAGGCCTTGAAACTCCCTTGAAACAGGTGACTGGTAAGGGGTGCATGGGGGTGCACATGCCCTCCCAACAGGGCTGGTGCCTCCCCGATGGCTGACACTGATGCCGTTGGTAGGGCTGGTGCCCCCCGACAGAGCCGCTGCTGTTGGCAGCTTCTGCGGGTGCCCCCCCCCCAGATTCAGGAGGCACTGGTCACTCATGCCTTGAAACATCTATTTTTGGCAGCCCAACCAAGCCTGGTCACCTTTTGAGAAGGGAAAGGAAAGAGGGAACCCGGTTAGAAAATGAGAAGGAGAAGGGAAGGAAGGTCTGCTAGAAGTTGTGGCCTTGTTGAGGCAATGTTTTTCTGAAGCCTTAGCAAGACAGGGTCATGGGTACCAGGCCTCTAGTGTACACAACAAATAGGACATTGTCCTTGTGAATTTGATTGTGTTCCATTTTCTATTGCAAAGTCTTGTATAAAGGGTCAGAATATCAGAGACAGACATTCTTAAATGATCATAGGTAGAAGAACAGAAATAAATGCATCCCTTAAAGATAGCCAACAAACAGCATTTCAGTATCCCTCAAAAGGAATGTAGAATGGGATTAAATGCTAGTTATTGAGAAACATTTCAGATCAGACCTGTTTTACAGTATATTGTTCTAGAATTTGTACAGGCTCCAGGCTGTGAAATGCTCTTCTAGACCCTTCTCAAAAGGCCCCACAACTCCACCTGTGCTGGATTATATCCAGATATGAAGATCTCCCTACATTGTATCTGCATTGCTTGCTTTCCTATGTAGCAAGATTCTACCAGCTTCTCTTGAAGAAGTACAAGTTGTGCCTTTCTGAGCATTCCCTGGGACACTTCAGATGATTGTCTATCCATCAGAATCAAAGCACTGCAACTTTTAATCAGTCAGGCTAAATACGTACTTATACTTTCATGGCTTTGGTTCAGCAAGACATATTGTTCCAGCAAAGCAATTAATAATAATGTATTTGACTTGAAGCTTAAGGTTAAGTATGTGCTTAAATGTTTTACTCACATGAAGGCTAGGGCCTGAGTTAAAAGCAGGCTTTTCATCAAAATAAAGGGGTCTTAAGTCTGTTGTTAACATTTAAAAATTGCATTGTCAAATGACTTATATACAACACTGACAAAGTTCGCACCATGTAGCTCAGAAAGATCTTGAGTTGGAATTTCCTAGGACTCTTCGTATTCTATTGACACTGGATTTTGCTGCTTATCTTGTCAAGAGGTTGCACAATTTCCTGTAGTTCTTTGACATCTATGGCTTGTCAAAGAAGAAACTGAACTGATAATTTTTCCTCAAAGTACTGAACAAAACTAAGGTAGTTTCTCGCTACAGTCTTTCAGCACCAGGAATTGTATTTAGAGGTTCTTTGAGGCAGGCAATCTGATTATAAATAGGCTTCACCTAATTAAATGGATCAACTGTACAAGTATGTGTCCCAGCACAGCTGTTCCGCTTCATTGGGCAAAACGTGCATTGCTCATTGTCCCACCCACTGGTCATGTGAGGTAACAGATGATATGTTCCTCACTTATAGAGTTGTACTCCCAGGAATCTGGGGTGCATCTCTGTAAGCAGGGAAAGCCAGGGTTCCCCCTTGCAGAAATGTGTCCTGGAGATTCCCAGGTTCATGCCTTTATGCTGGTTAAGCTGGGCAGGTGCTCCCAGAGCTTGAGGGGCCTGGTTTTGCATGGGCATTATTGGGGCATGCAGGTCTGGTTCTCTCAAACCTCAGGATCTCCTGCCTGGTGTGGATCCCTGCTCCAGGAAGCCCACATTCTCCCACCATAAAGCAAATAGACATCCACAGTGGGGAAAAGCAACATAAATTATCACTACCTCTTGGCATGGCCACAAAGGCATTTGTGGCATGACAAAAAACATGAATGCATATTTGCTTTCACTTTGTGCCTTCTGGTTATGGTAGCACAAAGGTAACATCTGTTTCCAGCCTGTGTCTTTTTCTGTATTAAAATAACACCTTGAAGTGAGTCTCTGATCCTGATCAGGATCTCTGGGTACTACTTTGCAATCAGTTTGGATAATAATGGGCATGTGTGGAAAAATACACACCACCTTGTGAAAAGTGAGACTTGATATAAGTTTTTTTTTTCTATCTTCCCAATAGTTCTTTGAATAAACTTTGATAAAAAATTAGGGAAGTCAAATGATAATGAGAAGAATGGTCATTTATACCATGTGTCTCTACCCTGCTTGTAACACAGGAAATTATCTAAACCAGACCCATTTTCCGACTTTGGCTTTATTTCCATATTTTCTCACATACCACGTGTCCCCAAATAAGATATGCACCTTGCCCTTTTGGAAAGCAAACTGTGGGGGGAAAAAATCCCAGTCATGTCCTAGAGCTAGCTTTTTCTCAGAGAGGCTGTGCTGCAAAATGGCTGCCAGTCCTCTTGGGACAGAAAGCAGCAGGGGCAGAGTCCAGTGTTAACCCTTTTTCTAGCAATATGCAATTTGGACATATGCCTGGTATCTGGGCTAGCTTTACAAAAGGGTGAGGACTGGTAGAGTGTAAAGCAGTTATGACCCTAATACCTCTTCCAAAAGTGCTAGTAGAAGTGATTATGGAGGGAGCAACTGTTTGTCAGGAGTGTGACCAGTACACGGGGAGTGAGGGGTTGGAGCTTGACCCTAGAGGGATCAGGAACAGACAAGGTCCAGACTGGAGTCAAGAATCAGGAGATCAGTAAATGGCAGGGCAGGAGGCCAAATTAAGGGCTTGAAGCAGAGGCAGTCACCCTGGATAGAGCCATGAGGCAGGAACAGGAAGAAGGGATCTAGATTGTAGTCGCTAATAGCAGGTCCAGAATAGACAGCTGTAGCTGTAAGGAATCGGTACTTGGGAGATTAGAAAACCAAAGCCAGCTGTCAGGAGACAGGGCTCTAGACTGAAATCAGGCGTTAGGGGGCAGAGCATGGCAGAAGCCAGCAGGTCAAGAGCAAAGGGGTTGAGTTGGGAACTGGGAACCAAAGGTAGACATCATTCCTGTTGAGGACCGTTTTGAGCATTGAAAGAATTGCTGCCTATAAACTGGCAGCCCTGCTCATGCGAGCAAATAAGCCAGCTAGAAGTATGCTGCTGGCAGACAGGCCCACTCAGCTAACCAGAGCCAGCTGGTGGCAATTTAGCTAGCCTGCTGCCCGGACTCCTGACACCACTGCACAAGAGATTTCCTTTTCCTTCATGCCTAAAGGCTTTGTGCCTGCCAGTGGATCAGGGAGCATCCATACCATCTGCCAATGCTAATAGAGTGAAGCTAGGATTCATATCGCCTTCTGCTTGGGTGATGCTTGAAAACAGTCTTTTAGCCTAAAGTAATTAACTGAGTGGCAGGCATTTAATTGTATGAATCTAACTTGAAGCAGTCATTTGAAACATACTTCTTAGACTTCAAATAACTGTTTTATCCCTTCTGCACATGAAAGTAATTGTAATTAGTAATTACGGTAATTATTGATAAGAATGACACACTAGATGTTCTTATCTATCTGACGCAAAATGTATATCACTTGTCTATTTAAAATACCTGAATCTAGACAAATCTAATACTTTTTGTATCGAGCCTTTTTAGGGCTTTCTTCATTCCTTGGTAGCAGAAAAATATCCTGATTTTTTTTTAATAATGTAAAACTCGCAAAAATTGCTGTAAGCTTACCCATAAAGTATACTTATTTTTATTAAGTTGTTATGTCAGAAATTAAACACAATACTAACTTTATACACTCACCATATTAATGGAAAAAAACTATAACATTGTGCTTTAAAACGTTGTGAATTTTACCTTTTTTCATCTACAATTTCCTTATTGTTCTGTGAGGCGGAAAATCAGTTTACCCAAATATTACAAATTAGCTCTGTCATGCAATATAACTAGGGGTGGGTGAGCAGGGTACCAGCTCTAGGCACAAACTTAGGAGGGATGCCAGAATGGCAACTCCCTGGGGAGCCTGCGCCAAAGCAGCAACAGCAACAAGCTAGGGTGGGTGGACCATGCAGTGGCAACAGAAGCTGCCACCAGGCCAGGTAAGCCTGACCCATGGGCTTAGCATTCCCTGCTGCCACCCACCATGTAAACGCGTGCGCACACATGCATATTTCTATTGCTGCTCTCTACCAAGCATAAAAAGAGGTTAGTTACACCTGTGGCTCTGTCTTCAGTTAACAGTACTAAATATTTACCTACCTAGTTTTCAAAATATATAAAGTTGGGCAGTTGGACTCTAATTACAAACAGACAGTAGATGAGGACAAAGAAAATAAAGTTAGGTGTTACTGTTTATACATTTTACATTGCACTCATTGCACTAAAGTTATTCACCATAAGAATTTATTGTTATCAAAGCTGGATATTGGTTCTTCAAGGAAGTAAAATGTTGTTTCTTCCTCCTCAGGGCTTAGTTATTGAACGACTTGGACGTAGACCTCTTCTCATTGGAGGTTTCAGTTTGATGGTTGTTTTCTTTGCTGTACTTACAGCATCTTTGACTTTACAGGTACAGTATATTCACCACATAAATACTGTCTCTATTTTTTTTTTAAGTCACATGCTTATCACTACTTGGTTTCAGCTCATTTTCACAGGCCCTGACCAGTTTTTGATTAAATGATCTTTTATCCTGAAATGGGGATTTGAAGTTCTGTCTTCTGTTTAGTTCCAAGCCTTTTTTCAACATGTGATTGCTAGTCGTCATAATTGGGCCTAAAAGGTTGTGTCATTCTGCTCTGACCAATGACTTCCTTGTATTCAGGGAATCAAGTACCTCTGTGAAGTTAACTGTACCCACTGTTTAGCAGGGCTATATTGCAGGGGTTGCCAACCTGCAGCGTACTTTCCACAAGTGGCACAGCAGCCTGTGTGTGTGGCATACATCAGACTAGGGAGGGGATAGGGCAAGGAACAGTAAACTGAGCAGCAGTGGAAGCAGGAGGCATAGGACAGGGAGCAACGATCAAAATAGCAGATTGGGCAGGAGAAGAGGATCAGAGTGGCATGCAGGGAGGGCACAGGGCTAATTTGTGGTGTGCCTGCCAAAAAGGTTGGCCCACATTGCTATATTCCATGCTTCATGCCTTTGTGCTTTTGTTCTTTTTGCAATTACTTTCATTCTGTCTGAGCCTTCTGTTCACTGGTGATGTTTTTGTTTCTTTTTCTGGAAACATGAAATGAGTAAAATTATAAGGAAAAAACCCAGGAGAGAAAACATTCCAGTACCACTGAAACTTAGAAATTCAATTCTGATATTTTTACTCATTATATAAAGATTCATTATTTGCTGAGTGGCAGAACCTGGCTTTGAGACATATTGTTAGCAATGACTTCACAAGTGACTATATGTCAGAAAAAAATTATTAAACAAATCCTAGCACTTAGCTGAAGTCAGTTTAATGGCTGCCTTGTTTATCTTCCTGTGGATGAATAATCATGTAGTTTTCTCTTGTTCTTGAAGCTTCTGTCAGATTTTGACAAGTAGAGCTCTGACAGACTTCAGGCAATTTTTTTTTCTGGCCAAGTTGAGATATTTCTGTCTTTGCTAAAGTATCTAAAATGAGCCCCACTATTAATACAAGTTTTAAATTTTTGGTCAGGTTGAAGAGAGTTTATTGCATAGTATATAAATGCACTGTGTCATTTTATAGCCGCCTTATTACAGTCAAGTTTGTGTCATACAATAAAATGGTATTTTACAGACTTTGTTTTCATGGCAAACTTAAGACACCTAACTTAGACTATAGCAAATGTTGTTATATATTGAAATATAGGTTGAAAAGTTGTGTCTTTCAATTTCTTTACTACATATTGTGACTCTGAAAATAATTAGGCAAACTCTTATAAATCAGTGACATTCCTTTGCCTTTAAATTTGACTTGAACCATGACTCCAGGCTACAAGCAGACTTAAACTGTTAACCAGTTTGAATTTGAGCTCTTTTTTTTCCCCCCATAAAATGTGCTGAGGACTTTGGAATTGGACTAAGGTCCAAACTTCAGAGCTTGGGTTCCTTTTTGATGCCCTTGGCAGGCATCACATTTAAACATGTGGTTAATGTATTAGTGGAGCAATAAACTGTCACATAATACATGCTCAAGGAATTTATCACTTGATGAGCCACAAAAATGGTGATCCAAGCTCAGAAATACTACTTGTTAAATGTAAAATATCTTTGCAGCTTGTTTGTATTACTCTTTCATTTGAGTGTTTGGCATGTTACACACAGGGTGATAGTGTTTGGCCAGGTCTATTAAGAACCAGAGTGTAGGCAGTTGGGAAAGGTCATCTGATATACAGGGGAAGTCCAAGAGCCAGGGTCCCAGGAAGCCAGAGATCTGCAGCCGACGTCAGGGTAAGCCAGGAGCCAGAATCAAGTTTGGGCATGTCAGAGCCAGGGCTGTAGTTAGGATATGCCAAGATTCAGGGCTGGAGTCAGAGTATAACAGGAGTCAGAACTGGAATCAGGAGCCAAAGGCAGGTTAGAGTAAACAAAAGTCAGGGCCTGAGATCTCAGAAATAAAGCAAGAACGTACTCAGCTGTCAGGAGCTTTTGCCCAGACAGAGTACTGCAAGCTGGGCCTAGCTTTTAAGGCTGGAGTAGGTGGGGCCTGCTGCCTGTGGCCTCAGGGGATTGGCCACCCAGATTGTCCCACTAAGACCAGCTGTGTTCAGGTGCACTGCAGGTGGTGCCCTTTTCCAGGCAGCCTCAGGGGATGAACTGCCCTGATCTTCTGACTGGGACGGGGTAGGCCCAGGGTTCTGATCTGGCCTCATTACAAGGTCCTTCAGCATCCCAGGGTGGACTGCTCTCTCCACCACCATCCCCTTCCTGCCAGGGGTCACCCTGTGACTCCTGCTGGACTCTGCTGCCCCAGAGATTGCAAACGCACTGGAGGACAGGGGCACAATTCAGAAACTTCTTGACATTGAAAAACAGCTGGAGGTAACAGGATGAAGCTCAGTGCTGACAAATGCAAGGTGCTACATCTCAAGAAGAATAATGAAAAATACAAATACAAAATGGGTGAAACTTGGCTGGATAGCAGCACTTTGGAGAAGGATCTGGGTGTCTTGGTGGACCACAGACTCAACATGAGTTTGCAATGCGACATAGCTGTGCAAAAAGCTAATACAGTTTAGAGCTGTATCAGAAGAAGCATTAGATGCAAGATATGAAAACTGATAGCTCATCTTTATGCAGTGCCTCTTAGGCCTCTTCTAGGGTATTGTGTGCAGTTTTAGGCTCCACATTTTAAAAGGGACATAGAGAAGATAAGATGCAGAGGCAGGTGACAAAAATAATAAAGGGCTTGGAAGGCAAATCACAGGAAGAGAGGTTGAAGGAAGCATGCTCAGCTTGGAGAAAAGGTTCTCAAGTGGGAACACGATAGTAATCTTCAAATATCTGAAGGGCTGAGTGCTACATTTGGGGTCAGGAACAGATTTTATCCCATGGTCAGATTGGTACAGACCGTAAGGGTTTTTGCCTTTCTCTGTAGCAGGGATGTAGTCCTTTTCCTTGGATCTCTTGAGTGTATTTTAACAACTCTCACAGCAGAAGGGCACTGGCCACCATGGTCTCCCTGCCTAGAGGGCATGGAGCAGAGAGGGACAATGGGCAGCCTCCGCTAGCAGCAATCTTCAGCTCCCCTTGATGGCAAGTGCTGACAGCAAGTTCCTAGAGCACTTTCTTCCTCTGTGGAAAACTTGGCCTGTGAATGTGAACCAGGTCACATGGTTGGACACTTTCCATTGAGCAACATTAGTTGTTTCTTGATAGAAATTACAGCTCTGTTAGTTCACATTAGTGCCATAACCCTTAACATTTTATCATATGCTCTGTGAGTTAGTGAACACAAATTTAAAAAATAAAAGGTTCTGTGGCAAATGTATTTTATTCATGTTTATTGAAATGCATTATTTGTTTTAATACAGACAGGAATAGCATCCTTCAACAGTTCTTTGCATATAACACACTCATGGACTGCAGAGTCACAGCAATTAAGTTGTTTTTCAGTGATATCAGGGTGTAGCTGAAAAACCCAACCCACTCAGCTAAAACCACCACACGCCTTGTCAAGCTCAACAAACCCCAATGTCTTTGGGAACCAAGCATCAATCCCTGATTGTCATGCATTTACATTATGCCATCCTTTCATATTATACTTTGAAATTTAAAAAAGCAACCATGCAAACTTTCATGAATGTGGTAGCAGTGTCTCAGAATTTGTGCAGTGAAAGAAAACTCTCCTGCATAGCTTAGCTGAATTTCTGTATAAGAAGAAATTCAATATTTGTAGCTGCTGTAATACAAAAGACCTGGGATTGTACTGCATGGATACACATGTTAATACCAATTGTTCAATAAAATATTTTGGAAATAGTTGTTTCTAAGAAAAACTTTTCTTAGATTATAGAAAGAATCATGGAGGGCACATTGTATTCTCATCATATTGACACAAGTAATGTTGATGTGTGTTTTGCAGTATCGTGTATCCTGGCTTCCTTTCCTGAGTATAGCTTGCATTCTTGCAATAATTGCATCATTTTGCATTGGACCAGGTAAGCCTTCTTCATATTTCTGTATACTGTTTGTCTGTGTGATCAACTTTAGAGCTGAGTTTCTTAACACAACATTAAGAATTGGTGTCCCTGGATACATTGTGTTGGGTTGGGTTGTATTTTAAAGGATCACTATAGAAGTTAGTCTCTTGCTTGTAATGCTTCTAGTTCTCAGAAGCATGGCTTAGCAAGACTTTACCTTCAGTGAGTATTTTCATAGTTCGTTAAAGACTTCAACTCACATCACAGCAAAGTTCTCTCACTCATTCCTAATATACCTCCATAGGTTCCAAAACAATTTAGGTTACTTTCTGATAAATAGACGCAACTTTATATGTAGTCCCTTATTCTTAGTTTGTGGATTTCTTTACAATAAACTCTAGAACTCATTGTATTATACGGTTAGTTAATAATTTTTAATAACTACTGACAATAATAGGCCTGATGTGAATCTCAGTTACACTTAGTGCAATTACTAAACAACTTCATTCACTCAAATAACATTGCTCCAAAATCACATCAGTTGCACTGAGGCCAAAATTTGTCTATAAAATTAACAATCCCCAAAATTTTTACACCATTTGTTTACAGATTAAAGGAAGAACTTAATCAGACCACAGTGCATGTGCAAAATGATGTGTCACAAGAATGCTTCATTTTTTAAAAGCTGTTCTTTACAAAGGAGGAGAAAAAAAAATCAGCAGCTTCTATAGTGTTTTCTGTGTGCATGTCCCATCAGTTTTGTCACTTTTCCAGATAAATGTTTTTTTTTCCTTTCTTCAAATGGAAATTCAACAGAATTCCTGTTTCATCACCCTCATTGTCACTTCATTTAAGGTAGTTTTGTCTTTGGTGGTCATCTAATTAGTGAATTGATGTTGCAAAGACAAATGGAAAAAGCAGCAAGCTACTTTTTATGAATGCTCTACTAAAAAAAAGGCTAGACTTGTAGCATTTACAAGCACCCCAGGAAATGCTACAATTCTTTCTAATGCTCCCAACCTCCTGGAGAAATAATCTGCTAGTAACACAGTGACATTCACTCCTGACTGACCTAGGAGCCATATCAGCTATTGGTTAGTAAACAATCAGTGATTGGTTACCAAAAACCCACAACACATATACCCTGATGTATATTGTGACAAACACTACTATTCAAAAGAAAAGCCTACAGTACCTTCATTAATAGTTACACAGGACTTTTGCAGTTTCAGACCCTCACTGATCCAGGTTCCCCTGATTGCAGAAGTGTGCCCCAAGTATCTACATGGGAGACAAAGGGCAAATATCTGTGTTACCCAGTGAAGTGGATCAGCTGTGCCAGCACACATCCCAACAGCTGTGCCAGGACAGCTGTGCCAGGACACATCCCAACACAGCTGATTCTGCTTCAAGGATTCTACTTCAAGGATGACATCCGTTTATACCCTATAGGGGAATTGGCAAAAAGTGTAAAGTCCTTATTTAACTTCCCTTAAGACTTCTATGCAGTCTTAAGAGGAATGCCTCTGATTTTTGAATACCACTTTATAAAATCCAGCAGACTGTTGCTGAGATTTTTGTATTAAACAGGGCTGAGACAGAATTGAATTTGCCCTAAAAATGACAAGGGAATTACAAAACCATCTGCATTGCCAGTATTGGAGGGTAGGGATAGAAGCATTTTTCATAATGTTTCGGTTTCTTTAAATTCCTGCAGGGATAGCCATGGGGTGCACAGGATCAGGCCCCTGAAGCCTGGGGCATGTGGAGAGCTCAAGCAGCTCTGGGCTGTCCACACTTTCCCACCATTAGCAAACTAGATGCCTACCATAAAAAATGATACAAATTATTACCACAAAAAGTTGCAGCAATGATTTTGGGCATTTGTGCTGTGACAAGTGGCATGGATGTCTGTTTGCTTGGGCTTAGTTTTTTAATGGCAGCACAAAGGCAACATCTGTTTTCAGCCAAGGTAGTTTATAGTAAGTATGGATGCTTATAACCTCTATATTTTTTTCTAATACAACCTTCATAGGAATAATTTTGCAAAGTAATTTGAAAAAAAACCTTAAAATGGTTTTTAAAACTTTCAGGTTTTTTAAATCTTCAGAGGTACATTGCAGTTCAACACTTCTAATATCTCCAACCTTTTAAATAAATCCTTCTGTTTTTTTCACTTGTTTTTATTTTGTTCCTTCTGATGGAGTCTATTTTTGTTCACTTTGCTTTTATCCCTTTATTGCTGCCAGTCAGGATTTTCTAATGTATTTTGCACATGTATTGAGGCAATATTTCTGCAGATATGCAAGACTGAATCTTCTGCTGTTCATCATTGCAGACTGGTTCCTACAGAAATATTTAAATTTATAGCATTCTTTATGTTGCCTTTTCTATTATGCATATTATTTTTAAAGACATAAAGTATGATTCTGTGTTTGTTCCACAGTTGACCAATCCACCTCCCTGAAAAATTAAGTACTCCATACTAATATTGTGATGATAGTCTCCATAATACTGAAAACTGCTTTGATTTTTATGAAAAACAGTGATTGGCACTGTCATGTTCAAGGGGATGCTGAATTCAGAGATCAGTCGTATAGAACCATATTCTGATTCTGCTGCACTCAGTGACAACATTTCAACTGACTTTAATTGGGATAGATTTGCCTATAGTAAAACTATTTCTCTTATCATTCATCCTTCCATCTGTTCAGAAGGGCTCAGAATTTATGCACTCAGTTGCCTCTCTGCAGGGACTGTTTCTCTTTCAGAATAAGAAAGTAGTTTCCACCTCCTGAAATGAATGAAAAGAACTTATATTTCCAACCTAAAGAAAAAAGAAACAAAAACACTGAAAAGTAGAGCATCCACATCTGTTAATGTCACCAGCCTAAAGCATCATTTTAGCATTTTTAATACAATTATCATATCTATTTTGAGGAAGAGAAATGATGTTGTAGTCTTTCTGTTCCAATGCCTTAGGACTAGACTGTGCCACATGAAAGATAGTGCATAAGTTGCAGGATTCCTCAGACACCTGAGTGAAACAAAACTGCTCCCTACTTACTCTTTGTCTATTTGGAGGACAATAATTTATGTCTACTTTATGCCAGCAGTAAGTTGTGACACTTCTGCCCCAGACTTAGTGCTGGTTAATGCATTCTACCACCTCTCTTTACCCACAGCGCAGCTCCAAATTCCTCTTCTTGCCCACATATGAAGTCTGGGTAGCCCTTGCAGACAGACATTCTGCCTTCCATTACTTTCTTCCAGATCTGAGTAAGTCATGGAATCATAGAAAATTAGAGTTGGAAGGGACCTGAGGGGGTCATCTAGTCCAACCCCCTGCTCAGAGTAGGACCACCCCTAACTAAATCATCCCAGCCAAGGTTTGTCTAACCGGGTCTTAAAAACCTCCCAGGATAGAGATTCCACAGCCTCTCTGGGTAACCTGTTCCAGTGTTTTACTACCCTCCTAGTGAGAAAATTCTTCTTAATATTTAACCTAAACGTCCCTTGCTGCAAATTGAGACCATTACTCCTTGTTCTGTCATCCGCCACCACTGAGAATCATAGAATCAATGAGTCAGAAGGGACCTAGACAGATCATCTAGTCTGACCCCCTGCCATGGGCAGGAAGGAGCACTGGGGGTGGCAGGGGTCATAAGACCCCAGCCAGGTGCCTATCCAGTCTCCTCTTGAAGATTTCCAGGGAAGATGAGAGCACCACCTCTCTGGGAAGCCTATTCCAGGCTCTGGCCACCCTTACAGTGAAGTAGTTCTTCCTAATATCTAACCTAAACCTATCCT